CACGAACACGCGAACAGCACATATGCAAGCAGACAACAAACACACACACGCACACACAGACACAAACACACACAAGCAGACAAACACGCCAATATATAAACACGCAAACACTCCAAAGGCACCATGCACCACACCCCCATACTCCACACACCAGACACCGCCAGACACCCCATACCGGACACCGCACGTCGCCCCACCCGTGCACCACACAACGCACAACACCACACCAGACACCCCACACCACGCACACACACACACACACCATGCCACACACGCACACCACACATTATACACGCACAAACAACACACCACACCATGCCAAACCGACACACCACACCACGCCGACACGCAACACCACACCAGACACCCACCAGACACCACACGCCCCAAACCACACACACACACACACACCCCACAAACACCACACACACCCACACACACCATACACCACCCCCCACCCCCCACACCCCACACCCCACACCCCCCACACAGCACACCACCACACCACCACACCACCACACCACCACACCAACACACCACACACAGCAGACCACACACACACACACCACACACCACGCGGAACACACCACACACAAACTCAAACCAACACACCAACAAACCAACCCACCACCAAGCACCACACACAACACACCACGACACACACCACACCACACCAACACAGCACCACACAACAACGCAGACCGCAGCACAATCTATCACATCACAATGCAACTCAAGGTAAAGCAACGTAACACAGACACACAACACGCGAAGCGCCTGAACACACCACACAGATTGCTCAAGCCAACTCCTGTCTCTGAGGTATGCACTGGTTTTGGACCGCCTCTTTCCGCAGCGTGCCGCTCGACATCAACCCTCCAGTTCAGGGAGGCTATACGAACAACTTGACTAGACTCATAGCGCCAACCTCTACTTCCCTTTAGCATGAGCCAGCTCACTGGTCAGGCACTGGTCAGCTGGGAACATCTTAGCGGCCAGGAAGCTGCTCATGTTGCAAGCGTTGGTGCCAAGCGCTTCAGGCCATGTTCATTTTGTTCTCCTAGCACGGAATTGTTGAACAAGTTCTCATAGAAACCAGCCGGCTACAGCAATGTCTACAGGACACAGGACATTTGCCAAATTCTTGGCAAAACAAGGATTCTTGTGTTTCCTGTAGCCGGGTTTTCTTGCTCCTTGCGCCAGCCTGCAGGGAAGCTCATTGACCACCCCCGGTGCCAAGCCAGGCTCTCTCCAATCGCCATAGCGATCTCCCCCAAAACCGTTACTAAACAGGGACACTAGCACCCTGACACATCGCGGTGTAACAAGTTTTGTAGTGTATTTTCAAAGGCAAGCAAAAGGAACGCCACCCAACAAAGGGGATCCCCCTGTTCCGACCGGGTAGTTTCCATTTGGGAAGCCAAAGGAAAGCCACCAGAAAAGGGACCCCCCTGTTTGACATGGGGTGCTCTGGGACAAGCACCGAAGTTGACCTAACCGAGGAGAACATGCTGGACAGGAGTCAGCTACAGGCGCTGGTGGAGTACCAGAAGAGTGCGGCCCCAGGCATGCTGGCAGAGGGCCAGGCTGAAATGCTCATAGGCCGGGGGGGCGGGTGGGGGGTGGGGGTGGGGTGGGGTTGGGGGTGGTTTGAGTTTCTTTTCTGTTGAGGCCCAAGCTCGGAAAAGAAACAGAACCCAAAAGGAAGGCTGCAAGAATATACTGTAAGTGTCCCTGATCCGGGGAGGGGAGGTTGGTGGCCAAAATGCTTGTTGCCATTTGACGTTGTTGGAGGCAAAGGATGAACATCACTTTGATGGGTTGACACATCTCTCAGCTTTTTGCGTATTTCCGGAGAACCAACGTCCCATTTCAACGCAGCCGCAAAAACGAAGAGGGAGGAAAGAACACAAAGCACGTGGAGCCGCCGTCCGTCCACTGGCGCCATCGCTCGAAAATCGGCGAGGCGCCTTGGGTATGGCCCAGAAGACGGTCTCCGAGGTGATGGTGCAGCTGGAAAGGGCCTGCTCCCTCAGCCCCGAGGCGCCTCCGAGCAGTCGAGCCTCCGAGCCGTCGAGCCGGGCTGCTTTGGGAACGCTGGGGGACTGGGACACCTGGAAGTCTGGGGCTCGAAGCCAAAAGGCCATTCTATTTGCGGGCCATTCTATTTAAGGCTGGCGAACAAGCTGTCCATCCAAAGTTTAAAGGTGTAAGGCCATGTTTGGCCTGAGGCTTGAAGGGTGAGACTGCAATTCCCACTAAATCAACTTACTGAGCAGACGCAACGTTTACACCAGGGTTGAATTGAGCGAACTTGCGGCAACCTACTGTTGGTTTGTAAAGATATATATATATATATATATATGTAAAAATCCAAAGACAGGTGGCAAACCAATAATTTCCACAAAGGCTGCAACGGCCGCCCGAATGAGGATTCATGGAGTCCTTTGCCAGGTCATTCCTGCATTTTTGGCTTGAGAGTTATAGCTCATGATTTCCCGCCACAGGATGTTCTACCAGCGGCCAGAACTCCCCTCGACCATCTTAGATGGCTCTTGCATATATTTGTGTATCTCTCTCTCTCTCTCTCTCTTTATGTTTATGTAGATACAGAAAGGTAAGCCTCTTTAAGCATCTTGGTAGAACCAAATGCCACGTGGTTTTGGTCGCTTCGGTACAGGATGTGCTGGACTATGCCTACGTTGCGCAGGTGATCCAGAAGGGCTTCAGCCGGTTCCCGGTGGTGGACAAAACCGGGCAGGCGGGCTTGGGATGTCTAGGGTGGCGTTTTTGATCCCCGAAAAAGACACCCATAGTGGAACTAGGACACCCAGTATTTGTAGAGGAAGTCATTTTTCACGCCCACCCCCTTTCTGGGTTTCATGCTATTTGCAGGAGAGTGCAGTGTCAGTTTCTGACTTGTTTTCTGGGGCTCGAGATCAAGGGTGTCCGTGTCGACCCTTGGTGTTTGGATTGCCTTCACACTCAATCCTGTGCATTCAACCCTTTGGCCAGAGTATTAGCTATTGCCCCTGCAGAACGGGGGGAGGAGACGTCGCTTGTGTGCCACCTTTTGTTCTTTTTGTTTCGATGTGGCAGCACCGCCGCAAAAGGGAGCACGGCTGTCTGCAGACTTTGTGTGTTTCCCCTCTTTCCGCAATTTGGCAGAATCTCTCAGCCATTTTACGTCGATTCATACAGGCTCAAGGGCTATATATATATATACATAGGTGGCGCTCAGGATGTGTCATCAACATAGTTTCTTTAAACGAGGGTTGCCAACCTATGCATGGTGTATATGAGGGGTATACCAGGCGGCATCTAGTTATAGTTTCCTTGATTCCTCCCTGCAGATGCTCTTGTGTGTGTGTGTGTGTGTGTGTGTGTGTGTGTGTGTGTGTGCGTGTGTGCGTGTGTGCGTGTGTGCGTGTGTGCGTGTGTGCGTGTGTGCGTGTGTGCGTGTGTGCGTGTGTGCGTGTGTGCGTGTGTGCGTGTGTGCGTGTGTGCGTGTGCGATGTGTTTCCTCCCGTTAGCAGCCTTCGGTTCCGCCTGTTGCAGATGATAAAAATGTTTCGTTTTGTGCAGATGTGCAGGATACACACACAGAACTCGAGGTGGTGAGGGATCCATTTGACAGTCACCTGAGGAGTTTGTGCCGGAGATCCTGTAATTCAGGTTGGGGAAAGCGGGGGTGGTGAGGGAGGGTACATGTTGGCACCTCAACAGGCTTGTCGTTCTTCCCCTTGCCTAAGCCACACGACATCACATTATGAAATGGGCTCCCTCAAAACAGCTAAGCACCCTAAGAAATTAGAATCTCCACGTATCCGCAGGTGGTGGGCCTGTTGCACTGCAAGGATCTGCTGTCCTTGAGGGAGCCGGAGCACGATCACTTAGAGGAGATCCGGGGCAGATCCGTGGCCCGGCCAAAGTGGTGGTATGGGGAGTTGGTACCCTTTTTGGGCTTGGACTAAACGGGAAACCCACGACTAAGCCATGTCGGGGGTGCCCACATCTGCATCCGAACTCCGACTCTGCGCGGAGCTCTGGGGCCGAGCTCAGAGGCGATTGGAGGGGAGGAGAGGAGGCGCTGGAGTTTGGTCGTGCTTCGTGTTTGGGGCCTTGGAACTTGGGAGTCGAAAGGTTGCCCCAAATGCAAGGTACCGCCCACATTGGCTGTCCAGATTTTCTTTGGGCTGCACCTTGCCTTGGTGGGGCTGTGGGAGGGAGGGAGGGAAAGCCGACCTGCTGTGACACATGAAATGCGAGCGAAGATTACCTAGCTGCCCTAGCTGCCCTAGCTGCCCTAGCTGGCTTGCTGGCTGGCTGTGTGCTGGCTGTTGCTGGCTTGATTCTGGCCTGGTTGCTTGGTTGCTTGGTTGCTTGGTTCTTGGTTGCTTGGTTGCTTGGTTCTTGGTTGCTTGGTTGCTTGGTTGGTGGGTTGCTTGGGTTGGTTGGGTTGGTTGGTGTGTGTTGGTTGGGTTGGTTGGTGTGTGGGTTGCTATTTGGAGACGTTTGTTTGTTTCTCTTCTCTTTGCTGGGAGGTCTCGGGCCAAAGGCTCTGCGCCCGGTGCCCCCAGCGCGCTCGCTCCGAGCCTCCGGGGCTCTCGGGGCTCTCGGGGCTCTCGGGGGCTCGCTGAGGCCACGGTGGGGGAGTTGTTGGCCGCTCTAAAGGAGGCGGGCAGGGAGAGGCGCGGACTGAAGTCGGACGACAGTTTGGAGTTTGGAGTTTGGAGTTTGGAGTTTGAGGGGCGAGGGAGTTGGGGTTGGGGATGGAGGGTGGAGGGTGGAGGGTGAGTTGGGGCAGCGGGAGGAGATTTTGGGTGGCTCATGTCGCTGTGTGTCTCACATGCTTTGTTGCCAAGGGTGGTTGTTTTGCAGGCAGCCTTTTCAGATGAAGGAAAGCCATGGAAGCCTCTACCCCTGTGGAGGGTTCCTACTTCTTGATGGGGGGGGGGCGGGTGACTTTCATTGGCGCGTCCAGTTGCGAGCATAGTCGAAATCTTCGAGGAGGTTCGGGAACGCTCAGGTAGCCTCTTGCTGTTTCTGACATGTTCTTGATTCTCCTGGACTTTTGACAGGGACAGAAACTGGAGACTCGCCGGCAGGACATGCATTGTTTTGCCCATCAAGCACACTGTTATCAGGGGTCCTAGCGTTTTCGTTGCAAGCCACAACCACAGATGTCCTTTGGTTGTTTCGCTTAAAAAATAGAAGGCCCTGGTTTACCTGGTGGTTCAATCATTTACCAGGGCCATCTACTTTCCAAAAATGGGCACCTATGGCCACGGCGCTTCCCTCCGCGTCGAGGCAAGTCTTTGTGTGTGGCAAGAATACCACCCTCATGGCCTTGCTTGCTGAGCCGGGGGCTTAATCTCCAAGGCTGGGAGCCGCCAGGGAAGGCGAAGGCGAAGAAAGCGGAGCTTGGGGCATTTGCCATGCTTTCGTGTGGACTCCTTCAATACAATGAGTTGTTCTTAGGACTCAAAGGGATGTTTGTACCCATGACAACACATCCTTTACGAGCTTGCTTTGCAGAGAAACATCAACATGTGGGGTAAATGCTTATTTGCCCTGTATGGTTTGGTGAATTAAGATGGGTGGAAATGAACTGGAAAGGAATCCGTTAAAGGACGCCACTAGGAATGGTCTGTAGGGGTCATTCCCTCATGCTGAGAACCAGCAGGTTTGCAAGCAGGTAAAGGGGGTGCTCTACACATCAGCTCTAAAGAGGTGGAGGGCCCGTGTGTCTTGCGCATCACATGGAGAGATGCATCATCATTTGCTGCGCACGCGCGTGCGCACGCACGCAACCGTCCACCCCACCCACACCCACGAACACCCACACCCACGCATACCCCCGCATACATCGCATACCACCCCCGCACCCGGGCGCTGAGATTCAAGCGTCGCCCACACCTGGCGGTCGTCGCGGACTCGGAAGAGCCCGGCGAGGCGCCAGATGCGAAGCACGTGGGCCGCCCGGCTCCAGCGAGTCGCGTCACAGAGGCGAGTTGGGTGACTCCCTCCCAAGTGGGCGCGCCTAAAACCGCCCCATGATGTGCACATTCCCAATTCAGATTCATACACATGTGAGGCCCATGCGTAGATACACATGTTTGCTTCTTTTGTTTTGGTGCCCACTAAACCACCCCTTTTTCGGCTTCCCCTATTTCCCTATTTGACGCTTGCCTAGGCTGCTTGGAGATGTCTTCTTTCGGTTTGCTGAGGCGTTTTCGGTCTTTGACGAATTGCTAGTCTCGCGTTGCTGATGACTCGCTGCTGATATTCTTCAGGTTTCTCTTTTGCAAGCCGTCAGCAGAGCGCATCACCGCATCATGGGGCAAACCTGTTTGTCAGCGATCGGTCGTTTTACATGGGTGTGTCTTTTTAGGGACCCCCCCCAAATGACTCTTCGGTTTTCCTTTCTTCCCTTAAAACTACCCCAAAAAGGGGTCCCAACTCGAGGAAACACACACACACACACACAACTTGAGTTCCTGCGACTCTCGAGGCATCGTAACACTGCACAATATCTTTGGCACCATTTTGCTGCTTGGCCGCAACTCCGGTGGAAGTCTCTAGGATCTCTCAATACTAAAACCCGAAGTTCCCTTTGAGAACAAAGACGCATCACCAAAAAAAACGGGACCCGGGCAAGTATATACAGGAAGCAAGAACCATAAAGGTATTCTCGTTCAGGTCAGTTTGTTGAAACAGCGAGAGAAAAACTGGTTTCAGTTTGGTTCTGTATTGCTCTCAGTGCCATCTACTTCCCAAAATGATACTGATGGCAAGAATCGTAGCCCTCTTCAGGCAGACGTGATACGCAAAGTGTGTGACCCATGGAAGGAATCATGGAGATGCGCTTTTTGTCTAGACATGCCACCACGAATAGTTTGAACCCATCACATATGAATGTTTTTCTGATTGACTCCGGACGATTGTGGATGGACGAAATCTGTTCGCACGGAATGAAGCCAGGGTTGAAACCATAGTTTGTTGGTACTTACTAGGGGAATCATATCATTCCAGGGTTTCTGAACTCGCGGTCCATCCACAGTATGTTCGAGAAAGAAGGAGGGGCCGTGCAAAACAAAGAGAAGGAACAGGCGGCCAACCGTCTGAAAATCGAAGGCCACAGTATCACAATCCCAGATCCCGAGCATGTACTCAACGTCCTACTTGAATGGGCAAGTTGCAGCTGAGCTGGTCGCCATACTTTGACGACATGGCTGGACCCCAAGATTTTGAGAAACCCTCACCATTCTCTTCACCCATGCTTGTCCCTTTTGTAGGGTTTTAAGGGACTCTGTTTGGTTGGGCCTTGGTTTTGCCCCTGCATTTGTTGGCAACTGACCAGCTTGACCCACAAGAAGACTGGAAGCCTGAAAACGCGCAACATGCGCGGGTCCCCTGTTCTGCTCTTTTTTTAAGAACCACCAGGCTTCTCCTTAGGGTGGTTCAAAGGACAACCAAAGGGACACCGTGGGGTAGTTCAAAGAACAACCAGCCCAACAAGTTGAGTTTTGTGCTTTGCGTGAGCTCCCAAGTTCCCAGGCAAGCGCAGGTGGGCTTTTCAGAGGACAGCGGCGCCGCAGCGAGCCCGCGGCGGCATCAACAAGCCGGCGCCCTGCACCTCTTCGCATCTTGATCCACGACATTCGCGTGTGGGAGGTTCTCAAACTGGATTTCGAAAGTTGATTTGGTTGGTATTTGGCCATGGGTCAAAATCCCGTACCCCCAGTGAACGTCCCAATCCCCACTAACATAGACAAAATGGGTGGGGCACCCACCCCAAAATGGTACCATTGGTTGTGACCCACAGCCATTTACAGGGAGCCCAAACGGAAACCAATGTTTTGGAGCACCCCCTAGTTTGGGAGACATGTGGGTGCTGAATATGGGAAGCGCACCCAACCAAAATGGTGGTTTCGCTTTCGAGAATAGCAGCTTGTGCTTTTGTAAACCCAACCAAAAGGGGTTCCCTCAAAAGAACACGGATATTGGGGGTACCCGATTTTGATCTTGAGCCACAGCCACGTGGGAGTGTGCTCCTTGAGGCCCCACTTCAGTCCCATGATTTGTCTGAACAGGGATGGAGCCCCCAAGGATGGGGTGGTTCGCTGCTGGTTTTCCTTTTCCCCTTAAACCAGACGCGGGTGCCAAGGTTTTGGTTTGCGAATGGAAGGGGCGGGGATCAGCGCATTGCAACGGAGGGATCGCATCGATTCCTTTCAGGATCGGCATCGGCTGGAGAGCATGGCTGCGAGCTCGGAGCAGTTGGGCGAGGACCGAGCCGAAGTGAAGCGGCGTGGGTACCTGGCTGGCTGGCTGGCTGTTTACCTGCTAAGATCTGGCTGGCTGGCTGGCTGGCTGGCTGATGAAAGAAGCTTTGGTTTCCCATTTTTCAGGATGTGGAGAAGAGATTGGCCATTCAAGCAAAACACATGCCAAATTGTTCCATGTCCGGCGTTCCTTCGCGCATCTCACGCCGGGGACTCCCATGAGGACGAAGCTGGAGCGGTGATGTCCTTTCTGGCACCTTGGATACGGACACAGTTCTTGGTTTTAAAGGGAAGAAAACAGGAAGCCAAGCGCTTGAGGGGTTTTTCCGACTTCTTTTGTTTGGAATCCATCCTCTTTCCAACAGCCTCAAAAGAAGCATCCTTGCTATGGTTCTGAAGAGGGTTCGAGGAGCTTTTCCGGAAACTATCCTCTTCCCAGCATGCGTCTCAAGAAACGTGCATCGCCCTCCTCATGGGTTTTGAAGGGAAAGACGGAAACCAAGCTTGAGGCATCCCTTGAGAGATACCCACCAATCTCAAACCAGGCATAGGACCTGAGGTCGCCTTGGACAAAGTTGAGCAGAGCTCTTGGGAGATTGCCAATCTTCCCTTCCGGAAAGTCATGTTAGCTTCAGCGTGGCAGCTGGCGCGCCGTCAAGGCCACTTCCCCTTTTACCCTCTCACCTGCATGTGTGTCTTTTGTCAGCGCACCCTTTTTGGGTTGCCAAAGCCAAAGCCAAAAAGACATCCTTGCAGGATGCGCGCGCGCGAAACGTGGAATGTCAGGTGGCAACTTTGCCGAAGATCTTCTCGCAGCAGCACATCGACTCTGCGGCCATCACAGCTCTCTTGCGGGAGACGCGGCCCAGGCGAGAGATCTGTCCCAGATTCCTCGCTTGCGCGTTCCAGACGGGGGGGGACAATCTTGTTGATGCGAAGTTAGTTCAGGCTGCGAGAGGGGCCAAATACAGGGATGACAAAAGATATGGGGGGAAGCGCTATATTGTTTCAAGGTTGTTCCTAGGGTACTTCAAAAGCAGCGAGACGATTATGTTTGGCATGAGCCCCAGAGTGCATGAACTTACATGCTTGTCGGATTCCTAGAGCAGGCAAAAGAGGTGGTCATCAGTGCTACAAGGGGAGGTCTAGATCATTCGTTTCCTCGTTCAATAAGGGAGACAACGAGGAACGGCGGCCATTTTTGGCTGGGCTTGCAAGAGTGAGGCACACTTCACTGAAGCGGACTTGGCAGACCTGTTGGCAGCCATTTCCGTGGAATGTCTACCTTGAACACCCAAATATGGAGCGGTCCCTAAAAATGGTTAGCTGCCAACTCTGAGAAACACCCTTACGGGTTTTTGTCAAATGCGGGGAGCCCAGGATTCGGTTTGGTTTTCTCCTGGCTTTTCAGCCAAAATGGACTCACGGAACACCTCACTTCCATTCGACACCTTGGTGTGCCATTTATAGACCCTGTGTTGTGGGTTCTTCCAATGCAGACTGCGGGGAACACGACCCATTTTGACGCTTCCCCTATTCTGAGAGAAGTTTGCCTGACTCGGGTTCCGCCTTGAGACGCACAAGGCAAACCATTCAGACCCGACCGGACCTGGAGGTACATCCCGAAGCGCACGGAGCTGTACAGAGCGGGGCAGGAGACGACGGTGGTGACTCTGGTGCTCCAAGGCGAGGGCAGCGTCGAGTCGGTTCCT